TCACAGAATATATTGTAAAGTGACTGTTTATTTGTAAGTGAACACCTGCACACTACAGTTTAAATATTCCCATGCTTCTCAAAAGGTTGATATTTGAGACTGAAACAATAGAATTGTTCAAAATGGAATTGGATAAGCACCTGGGAGGTAAAGACATTCAGGGATATGGGGAGATATGGGGGAGAGAACAGGAATTTAATTTAAAAATAGGAGATTTAGAAAACTGGGGCCTGGTCAACAATCTCCCCAGATAAAATTGTTAATTCATGTCATGGATGTTTGTTGAACAGTCCTATACACAAATTGGCTGTGGGCTGTCTGTCTATAAACTAGAGTCATTACACTTTACAGTAAATCCTTGTAGCCGTTTGAGACATCTTCCTGATGTAAAAGGCACTATATCAAATGTTTTTATTATTATTCTACTAATTATTATTATTAATAATCCTTGCATTTGATAAAGTGCCTTATCACATCTTCAAGATGTCTCAAAGAGCTTCACAGAATATACTGTAAAATGAATTGGCTGTATATTTTGCGAGTGAAACATATTATTATGTTGCTACAGTTTAAATCACTCTATAGAGGTCATTTCTAAGTGGTTTTCAGTGGTGGGTCAGCCAGACCAACGTGATAAATGAATGGATGTCACCTTTCTTAGTATGTTTGAGCCTCCTAAAATAGTTACATTTTGCAGGAGGTTGATAATTTGTTCACCAGGTATTTTGTCAAGCCATTTCTGAATAGTCTTATCAAAAATCACAGTTGCACCAATGATTGTAGGAATAGATGTTTGTTTTACATTGCCACGTACGTCCGCATTCAATTTGTAGATCGATATATTTCCTGATCTTCTCTAGTTTCTTATTTCTCACGTTGTAATCACTTGGGAAAACCCACATCAATAATACTATATGGGCAACCTATTTGATTCTTTATGATAATATCTGGTTTATTTATTCTATTTGTATGTACTTGTGAGTCCCAGATTATTGTGATGTTATTTCTTGATATTATTTTTGCTGGTTGATCTTCATATGAGTTGGTCTTTACATCAATATCAAAGTGTTTACAACTTGACCAGTGGATATATTTAACTAAGTTGTTATGTCTAATCAGATATTCTGACTGTGCTAGGGCTGGAAATGATGACAATACGTGGACTGCTGTTTCTGGTGTTGGATGACATATTCGACATTTTGTTTCTCTTTAAGATCTTTTTTCATAATGATGGGTAGTAATAGATTAGTCTTGTGCTGATATCATGAGAGCTTATGTAACTGCTTTCAGATCCCTGTTAGTCAACCAGTTATAGAATTGATTCATATCTAGGCCTTGTTCTTTCATTTCTTTATTATTATTAATTATTATTGTAATGACTGAACTGTACAGTCAATCCCCAGGTGACCTTCGAACCCCTCATCTACATCTGAGGTCTCACTTTCAGCCACCATTCCCCCTGTCTTCAGCCCCCCCACCCACCACCATCCCCCATCTCGGGTTCACAGAGAGCTGCTATGATGCTCTGTGGGACAGCCTCCCAATATAAAAGACGCTATATATATGTAAATTGATGCGATGGTTTCAGGCAAACGATGCAGCATTTTATGCACAACAAAATCTCACGAAGAGCCATGGGGTTACTGATCAATTATTCTGGAGAATCGTTGGCCAGATCAATTGGTCGCTTGTCTCATTTGCGATGTTTCCAAATTGGTGATCATGTTTACTGCATAACATTCACTTCATTTCCAATTATTCTCATTCTGCGAAACATTTCAAGACATTCATCCAATGTTCAACATAGTATACAAGTGCAAGTGTGTATAGATGTAGAATGCCTTAAATAAGATAAAATTATCAATTAAAACAATTGACCACATTGATTGATGCCTGTGAGAAAGTAATATAACTTCACAATGCAAGCACATGACTGACAGGAGGCTTTAGCAAGGAATCTATTCTGTGGAAAGGAAGCAAAATAATAGTTCCATAGTGTTTCTTAACCAATTGACTCACAACTTATCACCAATGTTAAATCACATATTATGGGAAGTCGATTAGCCATTCAATAGTTATTATGCAGCTATGAAATGCTACAGATTTTACCCAACAGATAATCTCCAAGAAAAGATCCGTCAAAATGGGTATAGCGTGAATATGAATTTTATCCTCTGCACTTCTAATGGACACCAAGTTACCGAGAAGCTTACTCCTCTAGTTAGGAAGTGAAATTGTTTTACTAAACTATACTATCTGGCTACCGGTGGAATTATTTTAGATGTACAGCAGCATTAAAAGGTGCTTCATCCAACAAAGCCTTGAAACTGGAAAAGCAGTAGGAACATTTTGTCCTATCACCAGAGCCTCATTCCAACCCCACTGGAAGCCTACCTTCCTAGGCCTCAAATATGACCATCAACCATCAACACAAAATACATTCTGAATTTAGAATATAACATAATTACATTCGATATAGCACCTAATAACATCACCAAAATGTCTCAAAGTACTTCACAGGATTTTCTGCAAAATACAGTGATTGTATATTTAATAATAACCCCAATAATCCTTGCATTCGATATAGCGCTTCATTATATCATTCAGAAGTCTTAATGTGCTTCACAGGATATACTGCAAAGTGGATCGACTGAGTATTTTGTGGGCAAAACACGACAGCCAGTTTGCGCATAGCAATGTCCCACAAACAGTCATGGAGTGAGTGACCAAGTTTACTTGGGGGATTGTTGGCCAGGACTCTGCTCAACAAGGGAGAAACTCCTTTCTCTTTTTGAATAGTGCCATGGGATCTTTAACGTCCACCTGAACAGACAGATGGGACCTCAGTTTAACATCTCATCCAAAGGACAACACCTCAGACAATATAACACATCCAATATAACGCATTGGAATGTCAGCTTAGACAATGTGATTCTAAGTCCCAATGTGCGGCTTGAACACAGGCCTGTTTAGTAATTTGTAGGTAAACACTTATAGCAGCCAGTTTGCCCGCAGCAATGTCCACAAATACACATGAAATGAATGACCAATTTTATTTTGTTAGCCATATTCTGTGGGATCTTATTGAACAATCCCAAAGAAATCATGCAGGGGTAAAATGAAACTACATTTTGAGATATCCTGCTATTCCATAAAATTCTATTAATAATCACTTTAATAATTGTAAGCTGCCCATCATTCAAGCTATTTTATGCCCCCCAAAAATGTTTTGCAGAATGTCTTAAAACCTTAGTTTGTTGCAGTTAAGATTATTGAAGACAGTAGTACAAAGAATTGGTGTGTCTGCAACAGCCATGGGGGCCTTTCCTTAAAATCTTCTAAAGGCCACTATGAGTGCCTTCAGTTGTTTTACAATCATCAGCATTCTGCTTCGGATTGACACAACACTTTAGTCTTTTCTGAAGGCTGGCATTCACAACAAGTTTTATGCGTCAGGAATTCTTCTTATCTGTCAGTATAACTGTGAGCAGGTTCAGCAAGAATACTAACACTCTTGAGCTGTACATCAGGACAAAATGAAGAGGTGCATTCACGCTGAGATGCAACTTGTTGCTGGTCTAACAAATTTGACATATAAAAATAGATAACCGCATAGCTTAGACAGAAAATATATCATCCCTTCCGTAGACTTTATATTCCAATGTTAATAAACTGATTTCTAGGTTGCTTGAATTCTTGGTTTTATCCCACCCCTAAAAAAATAATTATATTGCGCATCAGCCTGGCTCAGGCACTTTCGCCTTCGAGTCAGAAGGTTGTTGGTTCAAGCCTCAAGCCGGCAATTTGAACTCACAGTCCAGGCTGACATTCCAATATAGTGTTGGCGGTTTGCTGCATTCTTGCTGGTCTTTCACGAGACATTGAACAGAGTCCCGAATCATGTTCAGGTGGATGTCAAAGGTCCCATGATACTATTTGAAAAGAGAAGGAAGTTTCTCCTGGTGCCCTGGCCAGCAGTCTCCCAGTAAAATTGATCATTTACTGTTTGTTTGTAGGACATTGTTGTGCACAAATTAGCTGCCACATTCACCTACAAATGCACTGTCACTCTACCTTCCAGTAAAATCCCAAGAAACTCTTTGAGACATCTTGACAATGTGAGAAAGCCCTGTATCAAATGCATATATATAAAACAACCAGAAATTAACTATATTATTGATATGCAAGCACTGCAATGTTTTTATTAATTACTTTTAAGCTTTTTAAAAATACTGGGTTGTATCCAAAACTAAGTAACGCGGGCCATCTTGTGTTGAACTTCACGTTATTTACATTAGACAATTTGAGAGATAGGCACAATCCTCTTTATAACCTTAGTCTGTGCATCCAAGTGATCATCTTGTGTGACTTACAAGGAGTCTTTTCAGATCACTGAAATTGTTTTAACGTTGATATTTCCCAATAAAATTGATCAGCTGTTGTGTTGTCTGAGAATACAATTATTTGAAAATTAAAATGAATTGAAATGCATGACAACATCCATACACGATTGCTAATTTAAAGTCCAAACCTAATATCTAGAAGGCAGCGCTGAGCCTCTCTTTTTTTTTGCCCAGTGTAATCCTTTCAAAACTTTCATCTTCAACTACTTTTGAATTTTGCATCTTCATTCCAAAGTCAAGGTTAGTTTCACGTTGACTCGAAACGTTGCAAATACCTGTGAAAGCGACAGTGCTCAAATATTTTGCAGCGAAACAGATTCTAATTCCCAAACCCTCATTAGACAGAGAGGACTTGGCATACAGATGAGGCGATTCGATTTGAATTAAGTCTGCAACAGGGAATGCATTAAAATAATTCCCAAACCCCCCACATTATTAAACACCGACTTCAAACTGAGAGCTAAAAGCTGGTGATTTTTTTCTTGTCGTTTCAATCGCATCTGACATTTGGCAACACAGCAAGAGGGGGTTTCAATTTATTTCAGGGCAGAGTGAGAGTCGGTCTGAGCCACCAAAGGAAAATGAGCATTTGCTTACCTTGGCTTCTCGAGATCCCCTACTGAATGCTATCCAGAGCCAAGTCCTTCATCGCAGCACCATCACACCCTGAGATGAGGACCTGAATCCCATCCAGAGATCAATTGCCCAACTGCTCTCGGTGTGCAGCCTGGCTGGGAGGGTGGGGGGTGGGGGGGTGGGGGGGCAACCCACTCGCCACATTAACGTCTCTTTTTTTTTTACCTCTGATTTCCTGAACTACGACGAGCTACACATGCGAGTGGTGGCATTTCCTACTGTCAACCTCTATGCTCTGCGTTAGCAGTTAGACACACACACACACATACATACACACACACACGCACATGCACACACACACACACACACATGCACACACACACACACACACACAAGGCGATTTGCTAAGATTTCTTGCAATCTGAAATGTAACAGCAATCTGAAAATGTCCTTCCAGTGGAGTGCAGAGAGCATCCAGTACACACTGGGCTGGGGGTGGTGGGGGGTGGTGGGGGGTGGGGGGGGGGGCTGGGGATGTGCCATGGATGAATCAGCCCCTTGATCAGCTCAGACTGCCTTTGGGCAACACGGAATTAATCACACACACCCCCCCCACCCCAGCAGTCAGAACTGCATTGCTGCTGTTCAGAATGACATTGATTTCTCTCTCTCTGCACATCTGTGTAAAGGTCACTCCAATGGCTTTCTGCGAGTTCTTTCTCAGCAACAAAAAGAAATCGTTGCATTCTCTCCTCACTGCTCACTGGCGAGATCCCACTATTTATGTGTCGCTGTGAGATTGGACCCTGTTTTTCTGGAATCCAGGCTGATGTTTGCCAGCATTTCGGATGAATTGGCTATGTAAGGTTTTTCTTTCCAATTCTCTTCCCTAACTAACCCACAGCTGGAGCAGGTACAGTGTGAACTACCCACAAGGTGCAGAGCACAGGAATTGCAGATTCAAATCAGTCTGCTTTTCTCTCCTTATAAAGACTAACGCCAAAAGCAATCTCCCCCCCCCACCCACCCCTCTCCCCAGACCATCTCCTTGCTGTAAACCCCATGGAGAGGCTGTAGGCTTTGGAATTTTTCATGCTGGAGAGGAGAATCCTCAGGGAAAATTTTCATTCAAGGCGTCAAGATCCAGAAGGGAAGGAACAAACAGAATCCTATGAAATGTTTAACATGATCGAGAAATGTAGAACAACTTGAACCATTTATATAGCCTTTTTCAAGTAATAATCCTTGCATTTGATATAACGCTTATCAGATCGTTGAGACGTCTCAAAGCGTTTCACAGAATATACTGTATGTAGTGACTGTATTTTATGGGCAAAACGCAGCAGCCAATTACCATATGGTAATGCCTCAAAGAGTTTTACAGAGATAATAAATAATCCATGCATTTGATATAAATTTATCACATTGTCCAAAGGTCTCAAAGAAGGATTTACCATCCTTGTGGACTTGTGGAGAACATGTGCAGTCCTGTAGCTCTGTGGTTATAGAGCACTTGTCTTACAAGCAAAAGACCTGGGTTTGATTCCCGGCAGGGCGAAATGTTTCCCGACTCCATGCCTCTGTTTACCCAGCAGTAAGTAGGAGCCCAGTTGTAAGTCGATTAGCGGACTGCTTTTCTGGGAGTAATAATTCATTCCNAAAAAAAAATTGGTCACTCAATCCACGACTGTTTGTGGGACACTGCTGTGCACATCTGGCTGCCAGCGTTTCACCCACAAAAAATTTAGTCAATTCACTTTACAGTATACATTCTGTGAAGTGCTTTGAGATATCTCGAAGACATTATTATTATTATTACCATAAAATGTAGTGAGTGTATTTTGTAGGCGACTGTGGCAGCCAGTTGTACAGCAATGTCCCTTAAATAACCATGAAATGAATGATTGTATCAATGGGATTGTTCGCTGGAAACTGAGTGTCAATCTGGAGTAAGAGCTTAAAGTCCCAATCTGGACTTGAACCCCCAACCCTGTGACCTGGAGGCAAGAGTAGTACCAACTGAGCAAGGCTGTGCACATGGTGACCAAGCAGTGAAGATGGGGGAGACGACCATAGGCACAATCAAAAGAAGTAGATTTTTAGGTGGCTTTGAAAGGAACAGTATTTTGAAAATATTTTTATTCTCAACTTCATTTATAACTATTGACATTTCATGGGAAATTGTTTGAAGCTAAATGGAAATATTTTGGTAAAACAACAAAATTACATTTGTATAGCGCCTTTCACGTCAGGAGGACATCCCAAGGCACTGGACAGACAAAGTTGGGGGTCGAGATCAGGGAGGGTGGAGGGCCGGGTGGGAAAGCAAGGTGATTGAAAGCACGGTCAAAGAGAAGGGTCTTGAAGGAGACAAGGGAGGGGGCGAGGCGGAAGGACTGTGGGATGGAGTTCCAGAGGGTGGGGGAAGAGTGGCAGAAGGCCCACCTGCCAATAGTGGGGTAAGTGAGGCGGGGTCGTGAAGCAGGCTGGAGCCTGCTGAGCAGAGGAAGCAAGCAGAATGGTAGGGGGGTCGAGAGGTTGCAGAAGTAGGGGGGAGCAAGACCGTTGAGGGTTTTGAAGGTGAGGACCAGGATTTTGAACTGTATCCTCTGTGCAATGGGAAGCCAGAGGAGTCAGGCGAGGACGGGGGTGATAGGGTTGTGGAGCCTGGTGCGGGAGAGGACATGGCAGCCTACGGAGGGAGGAATTGGGGAGGCCGACAAGGAAGGAGTTTGCATAGTTAAGCCTCGATGTAATGAAAGCGTGTATGAGGGTTTCGGCGGCCTGCGGGGTAAGACAGTGGTAGAGCCGGGCGATGTTGCGGAGGTGGGGGAAGGCAATGTGAAGGCAGGGACGGTTCACGATGTTGGGTTGGAGGACTGGTGAGCTCAGATCTAGGACGAGAAGACCAGAAAGTGAACAGTCATTTCAAATTGAAACACTTTACAAAGAATGGTGAATATGTGGAATTTTCTCGTGAATTTACTGATAAAAGCTGTTTTTACCACCAGCCAGCAGATTTTATCAGCAAATTGAAGAGAAAATTAGACAGTTATATGACAAAGAAATTCATTAAGGAGGTAGATAAATAGAGCAGTGGCGGGTTATTTTGCTTTAGAACTGGTAAGATGGGTCGTAACTTCAGTTTACCTCCCCACCCCCACCCCCCCCACCCAGTGAAAGAAATGACGTCTGCAGAACTTTCTTGAGTGTAACTCACATACGTAGCATCCAGGAAGTGACATCAACAGCAACCTGACAACCTGGAAATCTGCAATTTTTCAGACTATATTTATAACATGGCTGCTGAGGTATTGGACACAGACAGCAGCGTCATAACAGGGGTTCTCGTTAATAAAGTGATTTCCATTGGTTTGAGAGTCAATAGAGAGGGTGCTGGAATAAGAACAAAATCCCAACAAGAATTAAAGAGTTTCTTCGCACAGACGGTGGTTAGAACGTGGAATTCTCTGTCACAAACTGGTATGTGATCAGAATCCATAAATTCTTTCAAGTAGTGATATGGGATCTTTAACATCCACCCGAACAGGCAGATTGGGCCTGGGTTTGACGTCTCAACCCAATGACAGCACCTCCAACATTGTAGCACACCGCCAGCACTGTATTGGAGTGTCAGTCTAGTCGACTGTTGAGTTCAATGTCCCAATGTGGGGCTTGAATCCACAACGCTTTGACTCAAGAGGTAAGAGTACTACCAACTGAGCCAGGCCGACCCACAGATAGGACACAGGACAAAAAATCTCTGGGCTCTTTGTTTACTATTTGACAACACAAAATAAATCCTCTTAACATTCTCTGCTTTCAACACCTACTCATGATGAGGAATCCAGCTGAGACATCTGTTCTGGTTACTGCTGCTTTGGGCTGTTGCTGCTGGCATCAGACAAGAAAAAAATGGAATATGAATAAATACCAACAATGGAATTTCTTCTGTCTTGCTAATCGGGAGAAGGGGTTTACAGACAAAAACATTCACTGATTGTTCTCATCAATAAGCCAGTTAAGTTAATCTCTAAGTCAGACATGATCCATTATTCATAAATAGTGTGCATATTAATAACAGTCACTTTCATAAAAAAATCACAAAATCACATAACAATTTTATTGTTTGAAAAAAAATAACAGCTAATTGAGATATGGTTAACATTACATTGATGGACTGTGTTCACAGGAATCAGTTAAATTATAATCTGTTGATGATTGATAATGGAATTTACTCGATCAGGATAATGTAATAAATATGGCATTGGCGAAGCCTGTTGATAGCTACCCATAATGTTCATATGACTTACATTTTCTGAACTAATCTGGTCAATTCTTACAGGCTTCAATTTAAAGATTAACAACAATCTAAAATAATAATTCTGGGAGAAACACTTCCTTGTGATTTAAACTTTGTATATACTCTATAACTTTTATTTTAAACTATATTTTTAGTTAGCTGTGTATTGACACACAGGAAACCTATCACAATACTTAAGACTTCAAACCAAACTAACAAGAGTCCCATATGTTTAATAATAATCCTTGCATATGATATAGCCCCTTATCATGTCGTTGAGACATCTCAAAGCACTTCACAGGATATACTGTAAAGTGAATTGACTGTGTAGTTTGTGGGCAAAACGCAAAATGTTTAACGGGATTAAATAATAAATAATGTCACTCCATCCACAACTGTTTATGGGACATTACTGTGTGCAATTGGTTGCCACATGTAACGAAAGGTCATGGAACCGAAACGTTGACTCACTTTCCTTTCTCCATAGATGCTGCCTGACCTGCTGAGTGTTCCAGCGACTTCTGCTTTTATTATAAAACGCAAGTTCTTTTGTTATTATTGGTTTATTGTTTATGATTAGGGAGCGGGGAAGTGTCAACCAGGCTATTGCCTCACCGGCAGCAATTAGAAAAGATGTGAATGAGGGAGAGTTCACCCTCAGTTTATTATTAATAATTAAAAAGATATTATTAATAACCAGCTAATAATAATAGTAATAATCCTTGGACTTGATATGATCGTTATAACATCAAGAATATGCAGTCAATTCACTTTACAATGTATCAAAGGCGAAGATAATTATTATTATCTCAAAACGCTTCAGGAAACTTTCCGTTAAGTGCGTGCGAACCTGGCAGCCAATTTGCCCAGTGTATTTTGTCTGGAGGAGGGGTCATTCTCCTGCTCAACCACTGCCTTGGGCCTCTCAGATTTCTTAACCACAACACTCACACACTTGTTCCCCTGCAGGTAAAACCTCAGTGGTTTGGCAGTCCACTCCCCTGCATAACCCACACCAATGCGACTGGTGGAGACAATATCTCCTTCAGTGATGTCCTGCGGGCCAGGTTCCAGCCAGGCCTCGCTGTCTGTGGCCAAGTCTCTTCGGTCGAAGTCCTTGGTGACCTGCAGTGCCTGGCACAGTTTGGCTGGTCCATTGCACAGCTCCTGGTCCTTGAGGGCTTTGCTCCCACTGGCGGTCCTCCTGGCGCTGCGTCTCTGTCTCATCGCCTCCAGCCCCCGCAGAGGCTCCAGCCCTCGGATCAGCACAGCCGCCCCCGCCCCCCGGCTGGACACGTTCAGACAGTAATACAGGCCGTAGATCTGGTACACGTACATGGTGCCCGGCTCCATGTACATGGCCGCGTTCCTCTGGGTTCTCCTGCCCCCGCAGGAATGGGAAGCCTGGTCCTCGCCCCCCAGGTAGGCTTCAGTCTCCACGATCCTGCCTCCGGCTTGGCTCCCGTCCGCGAACCTCCTGACCAGCAGCTGTCCCAGCATTGCCTTGGCCAGAGGGACGCAGGGGCGGCTGAAGAAAGCGGCGGAGAGCCTGGGGCTGGGGAGGCTGGGGGGCCTGGGGCTGGGGAGCCTGGGGCTGGGGAGGCTGGGGCTGGGGCTGGGGGGCCTGGGGCTGGGGCTGGGCCTGGGGCTGGGGGGCCTGGGGCTGGGGAGGCTGGGGCTGGGGAGGCTGGGGCTGGGGAGCCTGGGGCTGGGGAGGCTGGGGCTGGGGAGGCTGGGGCTGGGGAGCCTGGGGCTGGGGAGGCTGGGGCTGGGGTTAGGGCTGAGCCTGGGGCTGGGGGGCCTGGGGTTGGGGAGGCTGGGCCTGGGCCTGGGCCTGGGGAGCCTGGGGCTGGGGCTGGGGGGCCTGGGGCTGAGCCTGGGGCTGGGGGGCCTGGGCCTGGGCCTGGGGAGCCTGGGGCTGGGGCCGGGGAGGCTGGGGCCCGGGAGCCTGGGCAGAGCCCGGGGCTCGGGCTGGGGCTCGGGCCGGGGCTGCAGACCGGGGGGACAGCCCTCGGGCTCCTGCAGTTGTGGAGATCGCTTGCGTTTCCCCAGTGTTGTTACAGCCATTACAGCGGCCAATCCCTCCCTCCCGGACCCGACCCGACACTCACTCACTCACTCACAGCCCCGGCGGCTCAGTGACTGACTCACTGGTGTGGGAGATGCGCACAGAGAGTCAGGGACGCGCTGCCACAGCCTCCAACCAGACACCCTCCTCCTGAACCATCCCCACCCCCCCCTCACACACACACACAACAACAACAACCCCCCCCCACACACACACAACAACAACAACAACCCCCACACACACACACACAACAACAACAACAACCCCCACACACACACACAACAACAACAACAACCCCCCCCACACACACACAACAACAACAACAACCCCCCCACACACACACAACAACAACAACAACCCCCCACACACACACACAACAACAACAACAACCCCCACACACACACACAACAACAACAACCCCCACACACACACACACAACAACAACAACAACCCCCACACACACACACAACAACAACAACAACCCCCCCACACACACACAACAACAACAACAACCCCCACACACACACACACAACAACAACAACAACCCCCACACACACACACAACAACAACCCCCACACACACAACAACAACAACAACAACAACCCCCACACACACACACACACAACAACAACAACAACCCCCCCCCACACACACACAACAACAACAACAACCCCACACACACAACAACAACAACAACAACAACCCCACACACACACACACACACCAACCCCCCCCCCCCCACACACACACACACACACACCAACACCCCCCCCACACACACACACACAACCCCACACACAACAACAACAACAACCCACACACACACACAACAACCCCCCCACACACACACACACACACACCAACCCCCCAACCACACCCCCACACACACACACACACAACCCCACACACACACACCACAACAACAACCCCACACACACACAACAACAACCCCCCCACACACACACACACAACCCACACACAACAACAACCCCACACACACACACAACAACAACCCCCACACAACACAACAACAACAACAACCCACACACACACACAACAAAACCCCCACACAACACAACAACAACAACCCCCCACACACCACACACCAACAACAACAACCCCCACACACACACACACACACAACAACAACCCCCACACACACACAACAACAACAACCCCCACACACACACAACAACACAACCCCACACACACACAACAACAACAACCCCCCCACACACACACACACACAACAACAACAACCCCCCACACACACACACACCACAACAACAACACCCACACACACACACAACAACAACCCCCACACACACACACACAACCCCACACAACAACAACAACCCCCACACACACACAACAACAAACCCCACACACACACACAACAACAACCCCACAACACACAACAACACACCACACACACAACAACCCCCCCCCCCACACACACCACACAACAACAACAACCCCCCCCACACACACACACACACAACAACAACAACAACCCCCCCCCACACACACACACAGACAACAACAACAACCCCCCCACACACACACACAGACAACAACAACAACCCCCACACACACACACACACAGACAACAACAACAACAACCCCACACACACACACACACAGACAACAACAACAACAACCCCCCCCCACACACACACACAGACAACAACAACAACCCCCCACACACACAACACAACAACAACCCCCACACACACACACACAGACAACAACAACAACAACCCCCACACACAACAACAACAACAACCCCTGCCACACACAACAACAACAACACAACCCCACACACACACACACAACAACAACAACAACAACCCCCCACACACAACAACAACAACAACCCCCCCACACACACACAACAACAACAACACCCACACACACACAACACACACAACAAAAAAAACCACACACACCCAACAACACCCCCCACAAACAACAACAACAACAACAACCCCACACACAACACACAACAACAACAACCCCACACACACACAACAACAACAACCCCACACACACACACACAACAACAACAACCCCACAACACAACAACAACAACAACAACAACCCCCACACACACACACAACAACACAACAACAAACCCCCACACACACAACAACAACAACCCCCACACACACACACAGACAACAACCCCCACACACCAACACAACAACCCCCCACACACACAACAACAACCCCCACACACACACAACAACAACAACCCCCACACACACACAACAACAACAACAACCCCCACACACACACAACAACAACAACCCCCCACACACACACAGACAACAACCCCCACACACACACACACAACAACAACAACCCCCCCACACACACAACAACAACCCCCCACACACACAACAACAACCCCCCACACACACAACAACACCCCCACACACACAACAACAACCCCCCACACACACAACAACAACAACAACAACCCCCCCACACACACAACAACAACCCCCCACACACACAACAACAACCCCCCCCACACACACACAACAACAACCCCCACACACACACAACAACAACAACAACCCCCACACACAACAACAACAACAACAACCCCCCCCCCCACACACACACACACAACAACAACACCCCCCCCAACACACACACAGACAACAACAACAACAACCCCACACACACACACACAGACAACAACAACAACAACCCCCCCCACACACACACACAGACAACAACAACAACAACAACCCCCCACACACACACACAGACAACAACAACAACAACCCCCCCACACACACACACACAGACAACAACAACAACCCCCCCACATACACACACAGACAACAACAACAACAACCCCCACACACAACAACAACAACAACAACCCCCACACACAACAACAACAACAACAACCCCCACACACAACAACAACAACAACAACCCCCCCCCACACAACAACAACAACAACAACCCCCCCCACACACACACAACAACAACAACAACACCCACCCACACACACACACACACACACAACAACAAAAAACCACACACACCCAACAACAACCCCTCCCACAAACAACAACAACAACAACAACCCCACACACACACACACAACAACAACAACCCCCACACACACAACAACAACAACAACAACCCCACACACACACACACAACAACAACAACCCCCACACACACAACAACAACAACAACAACCCCACACACACACACACAACAACAACAACAACAACAAACCCCCACACACACAACAACAACAACCCCCCCACACACACACAGCTTAGCAGGACCGTAAATGCTCGACAGTCTTCTTACTTTTTTTAAAAAAAATGTTCCATACATTCCCTGCTTTTCCCAGTCTCACCCTGATTTATGTTTTTTGATTGGAGACCGCCAGCTGCTGCCAGGGAAGCGGTGCCTTCGGGGGCCCCTGTTGACCGGGATCGCAGTACTAATAATAATTCTATTGAACCTCGCATTTAATATAGCGCACCTATCGCGTCGTGGAAACGTCTCCGAGCGCTGCCGTGAAATGGGTTGACTGTATTTTGTGGGTGGGTTCAAGCCTCCGGGACGCTGCCCTGCATGAGGGGCGCAAGTTGTTGCTGAAATGCGGCAGGCAGTTGCGCACACCAACGTCCCACTAACAGCCGGGCAGTGAGTGGCCAATTTTATTTGGAGGATTGTTGACCAGGACACTGGGCGAAACTCCCATTTCTTTTCGAATAGTGCCATGGGATCTTTAACTTCCACCTAAGCACCTCGCTTTAACTTCTCATCTGAAGTACGACGGCACAACAACAACAACATGATTGCATTTATAGAGCGCCTTTCACGTCGGGAGGACGTCCCAAGGCGCTGGACAGTTGGGTCGGGACCCGAGCAGAGGGGAAATGGTCAGGGTGAGGGGAGGGAAGGGAGGGAGCGAGGAGGGGGAAGAGAGTTGAGAGGGGAGCTGAAGGCACGGTCAAAGAGAAAGGTCTTGAGATCGGCCTTGAAGGAGGAAAGGGAGGAGGCGGCGAAAGCACTGGGGGATAGAGTTCCAGAGCCTGGGGGCTGAGAGACTGAAGGCCCGGCCACCGATGGTAGGGTGGTTGGGGCGGGGGATGTGGAGCAGACCGGAGCCAGAGGAACGGAGGGTACGGGCAGGTACATGGGGGGATAGTAGGTCGGAGAGGTAGGAGGGTGCAAGGCCATGAATGGCCTTGTAGGTGAGGATGAGGATTTTGAATTCGATCCTCTGGGGGATGGGGGCCAGTGGAGACGAGCGAGGGTGGGAGTGATGCGGTCGCGAAGCCTGGTGCGGGACAGTACACCTCTGACAATTCAACATACCCCCCCAGTACTGCATTGGAATGTCAGTTGTAATGCGACTTTGGCTGCACCTGCCCTCGTTGAGCTTCTACAAAGAATTCGATCCCATTGTTGGAGGTAAAAATTTACAACAGATTGCAGATATCAAAGGACAAAGAAACAAAAGGGGAAAAGTGTTCACTGAAACTCTGCTGCTCCAGATTCCTCAGTTTGTAGTTCTGATTGTCACGAAGGTCATGTTTTCTCCCCTGAGGATCAGAAAACCTGCAGATATTAATTGAAAATCATCTCAAAAGAAATTGAACAATGTTTAGTACAAGACAAAAACCAGAGCATAACATAAGTTTCATGAGCACAGAAATAAGGCAAACAACTAACATTAGCACTTTGTACTAATTGGGCCAAATAAACCATCAGATCAGTTATGTTCTGGTGCAGAAAATGTTTCTAGCACAAGCTGACGACCCTTCGTGATTGATATTATCCAAAGTACTGTTGGTGCAGTCTGTCTCAATCTCTTAGCACGTTTGCCTTTTACAACACATCAGAGCAGACCTGCAATCAAGATGAGCCACTGACCTCCAGCTTAAAATAAACTGCTGTCAAAGAAAATTGATAAGAACACAATGTTAATCAATCTTAACCAGCAATGTTCAT